TTATTTATTTTATGTTTGTTGACGTGTTAAAAGTACCAAATTATGGTTCACTTGAAATAAATGCTTTCGAGTTTGACAGCCTATAATGTACATTCTTAAAACACCACTCCTTTATCCTCACGATATTTGAAAACAGACAAGTCTAACTTTCATCAAATTCTATACATTTTAATCTTTTTTTACAGCAGTACCTGAGCCCTATATTGTATTGTTATAACTCCAGAGTTGATCTTTTGTTTTGTCCAAAATCTCTATTTTCAAACTATTATTTGCAATAACTACCTATTTTGACTGTTGGTTAAATGGCAAAGAAGTTAAAAATCACCACGAGCGTGTTTGTGGTTGGTCGATAGCGAAATTAATTTACTACTCATGTTTGTCGGATTCAGAGTCGCGGAGAACCTAACGTGTAACCGGGGCTCCGGCTCGAAGTGCAGGAGTAGGAACGGGGTGGTTTTTAGTCAGTAAGAGTCTGACACTCCTTCCCGCCTCACGTAGGCGGGAGCAGTCATTCGATGATTTTCCCCCCGTAAAAAAAACCCTCATGTTTGTCCATATTTTCACATTGGACATTAAACATTACAATTGAAGAGTTTGTTTGTTTGAAAAAGTTTTATGGGGTTTTAGTCCATAATTACAGGTCTTCTATACATAATATAGACTATAAATAAAATCTATAGATACACTAACATCATATTGGTATAGGTACAGCTGAAGAGCTTTCTTGTTTCAGTGTTCGGTTCCATTTGAATAATTATTTTTGTGTTACATAGTTCCTGTATCGAGGAAAGCACATTGGCTATAAAACAACACATGCAACAATCAATGGGAACCAAGCGACGAGTGAAAACCACGCTGGATTTCTCAGTAGGAAATATACAAACGATTTGTCTTAGAAATTGAGACTGAAAATTGATTATGTCCATTATACAGCAATTAAATTCTACTAAAGGACAAACAAATCGAGTAATTAAATTAATATAATATTGCTAAACAACACGATACGGTATCGCTATGCGCTATGCATAGACTATAGAATCGTTTCCTTGATCAATTTTATTGTAGTTTTTATTCCTTATAAATCATCATTTTGCAAAATAATATACTGTTTTTTTTTTATTTAATCATCGTTTACACGTGTATCCTTTTGTTTGTAAATAATATATTAAAATATAATTGCAATCGATTAATTTCGGTCGTTATGCTCTATGCTCGGAAAAACTGATGTTCTCTATGTTTGCTTTTTTATGATTATGATTATGATTTTAATATTTATGATTTAAATTATTACATAACATCACGCCTTTTGTCCCCGAAGGGGTAGGCAGAAGTGTACATTATGCCACTGTACAATGTAGCACCCACTTTTCACTTTTTATGTCATGAGTCCCATGTAATAGTGGGTGAGCCTATTGCCATATACCGGGCTCAATTCCAGAGTCCGTGCTACTACTGAGATTTAAAAAAAAAACTTGCGACCACTCGGCCAACGAGGCAGGCATTCAAAATATTGTCCATGAAAATGTGGTCCATTGTAGGTAGGTACTACTGGATACTACCCGCAACCAGATTCATGGCAGCATTTCTCTATTTTCAAATTTAGCGCCAAATACGTATACGGATTTTACTTCATTCAATTTTTTGATGATTAAATATTATTAAAAGCAGGTCGCAGTCTCTTATTATTTTGATAAATAACGGTCCCTTCTATAAGTAAAGGTTTGTTTACATAAGATAACAAACACGGTCGTATTGGTGCCTATTTAGTTTTTGCGATAGAAGTGTCTACATTGGCGTCTAATTATTCAGTACTGGCCGATCTAAACAAGCCGGTTAGCACGCCCCCATGGTGTGAAATGACAAAGGTTATGATAATAACGGTGAATAACTTACAATCGCCATGTTAGTAAATTTATCAGTCTATGTGTATTGGCTTTATGATGTTGTAGTTAATAGATTTGGTCAGTAGGTGATTTGGCAAGCGAAAGTCTTGAAGGTTGCTAGCGAATTTTTTACCACGTTTTTGTCGTCTTTCAAAGTCAAAGTCAAAGTCAAAGCATTTATTTCAATTAAACCATATTTTGGTACTTTTAAAACGTCAACAAGTACAAAATAAATAATAGTCTGTCAGTCAGTCCGGCAGTGAAGCTAGGTGAAGCTAGGTGCTCATTCCAAAATGTAGATTCGAATGGAGAAGAACGAGCAAGAAACTCCATTCGTTACTCTTTTTAAAAAAGTATGTTCTACAATGTCTCTGATACATATTCCAATACTGTACGCATATGTGAGAACAATGCAAAGACACGCTTGACGAATTTATATATTCTTCTCTTTGATTCGTTTTCCTTAGTGCTGACGTTGGTTACCACCCTTTTGCATCATCTTCTCACGTACGATCTTAGTCCATCCATTTATATCGCTGACGGTATGGAGTTATAGTGGAATCCCATGTGGTGCGGCTGATCTGACCATTATGTCGGGCAGCGACCACGAGGTATTTTCCTATTCACTTTTTCGGTCATAATGGGTATCTCTAAGAATCAACATCAATGTTACAATTGTCGTTTTAAGTGCTTTTTAGATGTTTGTCAGTTATTTTATGGAATAGGCAGTAGAAACGAATATCAAAACAAGATTTGGATAGGTAGGTTTTTGACTCAATAACTCCAGACGTTTCGCGAAAAATCCTCGCAATTGACAAAAATTTGGTGAAAAAACTCGTTTTTCATTCAAAACTTTAAATTATTTCAGGAAACCGACCCGGGATTTTCACTCGGTTGGACGGCCCGCGCCGAGGACTTCTAGCTTATTTCGCGCCTATACTAACTTTGTAAATTGCAGTAAACAGATACACGTAAATGCGTTTCATTTCTAAATACATAGATCAAAAACAAATACTCGAAGAATAGATAAAAAGGCCTTTTCTCTTCACAGAAAAGTCACTACAATGCATTTATTACTCGTGTTTGTCTGTACGTATGTCCTAAGTAGTTCAAGAATGAGATGCGCAAACTCCAATATTTGTTGGTCGAGATTTTTGTCCCACTGCGACCATCGATCCTGCGACCTGAATGTGGAAAGTGGACTTTGGGGCGCTGCGTCACTTGTGTACGTCGTTTTTGAAAGATTTTTAAAGACCGTGTTTGCTAGTATGGTGAAGCTTTTGCCAAGATTCTTAAGCCGTGTTTTAGAGTTGTCTTATTACTTAGGTAGATATTACTTTGGAAATGTAGGTTTTAGACTGGACAATTTGCTGTAGAAAACACTTATAAAATGCTCGTTAAAATAGGCAGTAAATACTTTTTTAGAGTTATGAAAAAGACGGACTATTTATTTATGTTGAAAAGCTAGGCTCTACGGGTCCTTCTCGTTTTAACTATTATAATCTATATTCTAATTGTAAAAAACTAGGTTTAGTAATTTAAATAACATAATATAAATATTTCGTTTAAATTAGCTCTTTATTGGACACGAAAAACAACACATGCTAAAGATGCCTTTTGCCGCACTTAGGTATTACGCTCTTAGGAATTGGACACTGTAATAGACAAAAAAAAGGTTTTATAGCTAAATCTAATTAAACTATTGACTTTAATTGAACAATATTCATAGTTATTTATGAAATATAGTGGAACGTACTTAGAATGTTAACATCTTCCGACGTTCGGCATTCGTCAAACTCTTTTACTCATTCTCACACACTCTTACTCTTATACAATTAAATAATATGAAAATCTCTTACCTTTCTCAGACTTCTCGGTCTCTATCTCCATTTTAGTCAGTAATCGGAATGAATCGTATAACACTTAAATTCGAAAAATGAAATTTATCAGTCCCGCGCCGCGGTCAATGTTTATCACACAACGGTTGACGAACTTATGAATAGTTTTTATTTACTATTCCCTAAGTTAAATTCGTTAATGACCTATCTACTTAATCACTAATTATAATAATGATCACAATTTAACTAAATGGTTCGATAAATTATAGATATCGGTAGATAGTTATTAGCAAATGATCCTGGATGGATGATTAACTAAACACTAATTTAAAAATATATCTTTTTAAATTCCGGACAAGGTACAGAGCAAGCTACTGGAGCGTGCAATCCTTATGGAGAGTAAAAGAATACTGAGTGATAATTCCCAAAATTCCTTCCTACCTGGACGCGGAAACAATGAAACAAGGGTGGTGTGCGAACTCATGCGCACAAGAGGCTCCTTATCTCTCTTCCACTTTTAGGATGGAAATTTGCAATCATATTTATCTATAAAATTAAATAGGAAAGTAACTATGTTTGTATGTTTGTTAACGCTTTACATACTCAACTTGTCGTCCTGAGGCTGAAATGTTGCATACGTGCATAAAGTTATGGAGACTAGGCAAAAAATATGCTAAATATAGATAGACTGACAGCTAGTAATTCCTATAGGTATTAAATTAGTGCTAGAGAAAGTATTATTTTGAAGATGTGCGTAATTAATAGTTAGATTAAGTAATAATTATACCTACAGATTGAAGATATTATTTATCCTATGCCTAACCCAATTTTATCTACAATGCTTTGTTTACTTACAAACCTTGCAATACTTAATTAATAAATCGATAATAATTAACATTTCTATGATTTTAGAGTCGGAGAATTATTAACTTCGTGGTAATAATTTATAATTATACTGGTTTCCTACATGGTAAATATTTTGTTTTGTATAACGGAAAAGCGTTATAAGTCCTCAGTCTTATAAGTTCTTAGTTACAAATAAATTGATTTGATTATGATTAGTATCTACTAAACAAACTATAGAATACTAAAGAGAATCACTAAAGATTGGAGGCAAATCCTTTGCTAAAATAGGTCCTCGGTTAGGTCTGCTGTAGGTACACGTGTTAATATTTTGAAGATGAATCGGCTCCCACTGCTGTAGAACCTAAGGTATACCTTGAAGAAACAAACACAAAGGTTAAAATATAATACCACGAGGCCATTGATAGGTACTTACCATAACCGATCTCATGTCGGACAGTATCCGCCTTCACGATAACCGGCGTCTCTTTAAAAGTGCTGCCATCTTCCGGATCGTCAGCCTCATTATCATGTTTGGCCTCCGTTTCCGCAAAGTACTCCTCAAAATTGTTTTTGCTAAAGAAATCAAAGTCCACGGCTGCTCGCTTCATGGTTGGAGTGGCGCTAGAGGCCTCGACTTCAAACTGCAGCATTTTTGCTGGTGACATAAGATCTATTACAGGGGATGGTTTGACGAAGATATCATTGTCACTTTTTTTCGTCAGCGATAGCTGCAGTAGCGTTTGTGGTCTGCGAATGTCAGCCTTAGCCTCGCCTATTTTAGGAGTTTCAATTATAGGAGGCGAGTTCTCTGGAGCCGGGCTCTCAATATCGGGTGACTCAATGCCAGGAGTTTGAACGACATCAGGTGATGCGATATCCGGAGTTTGGACGATATCAGGTGACTCAATCTCAGGAGTTTGTATGATATCAGAGGACTCGATGTCAGGAGTTTGAATGACATTGGGTGATTCAATCTCAGGAGTTTGAATGACATCAGGTGACTGAATGTCCGGGTTTTGGACAATGTCTGGTGATGCGATGTCAGGACTTTGCGCATCAGGAGTCAGTAGCGGAGTCGGCAGTTCCACCGTAGGCGTCTCAGCATTAGTACCCACACTGCCGTCCACTGACATCTCTCTACCTATAGTCACATTTTCTCCAATCATGGAAAAATTATCTAAACTCATACGGAATGTATCATCAGGAAGCTCCAAGTTGTCTGGGATTAATTGATTTGAACTTGAACTTACGGATCTGTTCATTGTGACCTCGACATTTTTACTATCTAACAATGGCGACTCCATATTGTTTGAAAGTCCAGCTTTCGTTATATTCATATCAAGTTAAAATAATAAATCATACATTAGTCCTCACTGGTGGCCTTGAAATAATCTTGCCAATCGATAAGCGCATACATAAGAATTTCACATCACTTACACGCACACATGCGCATTACGTTCCCTTTCAATGTGTACATTCATGAGCTGTCAAACTAGTTTCGCGGCTACGTTTTCCTCAACAGTATCGAAGATATTATGTCCAGTAAGAAATGAAAAACGTATAATTAGGAAGTAAACTATTATTGGAATGTTAACATGACACTGATACACATTTGTAGCATGTAATACAGTTTTATCGCGCCATAGGTCTGTCTATAAATAGATCGCTAATCGCCACTCGCACACTGATTTCGCCCGCCTTTTTGTTTCTCTCAATCACAGTGAATGCCGTAAATAATGTTCAGGAATGTCCATTAGTCCACAATATATCGTTCACAGTTTATGTCATCTATTAGTTCAGGAAGGAATTTGTTTACTTCGCGCTATAAATGCAAGATACGGCGCGATGGCGCGTTCCACAACACAACTACATGATGTAGTAATGTCAACAAACAACGAGTTCCGTGTGCGAACTCGCCTGTACATTGCGCAGACATCAATGTTTAGCATAAATTGTATGAAACTTTATCCTTTTACTTTCAATTGGTTATTTATTAAAATAAATTGGAGTAATTCTTATTATTGTTCGGTTATTCTAATAAGAAATTGAAAATTAATCGTACACCAACAGGTTTGTGTTATCTGTTGCATGCGCGGCGCGCATTGTAAACATTCTAGCTGTCAAACTTGGAAATCAGTATTTTATAGTTTTTTTTATCAAGACGAAAAAACCTATTTATTCTGCCTGCTTGATATAAAGTCGTAACTAAAAATTAGAAGCGACCTTTTCAGTTATATTGATGCATTTACCTTTTAATTTTTTGCGCTTTAATCTTTAGCGGGAGAACAGTAGTTCCATTCTACTGTTTTGATATCTGTCAGCTGTCTGACTGATGATTATGAAGTGACCCAGTGACCTCTAATAATGTAAATTCAAGGTACCACCAGGTACCTACCCATTCATCTATTATGTATTATGAAAATGGTTTTTGTCTGGCTCGGAATATGTTTTCATCACGTGGGATTTTTAACTAAATGGTGTTATTTCAATTTATATTTTTGGAATAAAATAGAAAAAGAATTGTGGTATTATTTTTAGGAACTATAATCTTAATGGAAGAAAATAACAATATGAACTTCAGATATTTCTTAATTTGTACTCTTTTTTTTTCAGTGTAAGTAATTAATATTTATCGAAAATATCGATTTTTGATGACCACGGTTCACATCACTAAAAGAAATAATTGACTTGGACACATGTCATTATAAAAATAATTTGTTAAAATTGCATCTTTGTCCTTTCTTTTTAACCGACTTCATGACTTTATTCTATAATTATTTATTCAAATGGTTTTTTTTTTAATTTTTTTAAATAATAATCATCATTTTAAAATCATTCTCTGACCTATTTCATTTTTAAAAAGTAATGCACATGATTTTAGAAATATACTGTGGACTTCATTCATGTTAGTTGCAATAATAAAAGGTAAGTTAGAGATACTTCAATTTGTTGGAATAGTTAAATATTAGTAATGTTGATCATACTTTTTGGTATTTATATTTACTGGAATAAATAAAATAAGAAATTGTCGACAACAATTTATTTTAACAAGCAAATCAATCATTTCATTTTCTTCTTTTTACCGCCGGGACCATTGACTTTCGCGCCTTTTCTCTTCCCGCCTTTATCCGCCATTTTGTTAAAACCTTTTTTGTTGGGTTTGTTCTTATTGTCAGATTTATTGAAGTTGCCTTTTTTGTTTTTGAATTTTTTATTACTTGATTTGTTTCCTAATATTTTTCTGTTGTATCCTTTGATCCACTGGGCCCTGTTATCTTCCCAGGCTAATTGTTTGGTGCTTGCGTTATCTGTGTTGGCTACTGCTTGGCTTGACCCTTGCTTTTTGTTAGCTGCTGTTTCTTCTAGTAATGTTGAGAATTCTTCAGCTGAGGCGAATAGAGACCCAAGGTCGTCGCCACCTGTTGGTTTGTAATGTTATCATCAGTATTATAGAATTTAACTTTTGAAACTAGTTTGATATCAAATGCATGATTAGAAAAGCGTAAGGATTAATTCAAACGCGATCCGGAAATTCGTGTTTAATATAATAAATATTTAATGTGTAAAGTACAGTACAGTTTGATCTATTGAAGATAAAAATAATAATCTACGCACCTTTTAGTTTAAATTTGCCTTTTCCTTTCTTTGATTTAGTGCCGGGAACATCGATTTTGTCATCATCATCGTCGCTGTCTTCAAGCAGCAGTTCTGTGGATAAGAAATATAAATAAATATGTTTGTGTTGGTTGGAAAAATTAATTATAAAAATTCTAGTAAGAGTATGTCAATTGGAAATAGGCTAAAATCCTCCTGCTCTACATACGAGGGGGCTAACTATAGTTTTTAGAACTGACTGTCGAAAAGTGCTATTAGAAATTAAATATTGTTTAAAATTGTGCTCCAGATAGATTTTATACTAAGTGTGGGAGAGGCATGCTTCGGCACGAATGGGCCCGGTCGACCGGTGTACCAGACCGACCACGGCCGAGCAGAAAACCGACGTGAAACAACGCTTGCGTTGTGTTTCGTCGTGTGAATGAGGTTACCGGAGGCTACCGGAGATTACTAGCTCCCGATTCCCCAATCGCCCTAATCCCTGAATCCCAACAATCCTCAAATTCCTAATCCCCAAGAAGGCCGGTAACACACTTGTAACGCCTCGGGTGTTCCAGTTGTCCATGGGCGACGCGGATTGCTTACCATTGGCTGATTCGTCTGCTCGTTTACCGGCTTATCCCATAAAAAAGAGTAATGTAATGTATGTTATTGCATAGCATATTTTCTTACCATCTTCCTCTCCAGACAGCGCTGGTTCGTCCTCATCTCCTGAGATATTCAATTCTCCGTCGCTATCTGTGGAACCAAACAGGCGAAATGATATCGTTTAATGAATAATCAATTTCAAAACTATTTTAATGAAAGAAAGAAAGAGAGAAAGAAAAGCCGCTTATTATTTAATGTGTTGTCATTTTCGACCATGTTGGACCCCTAGGAGGTAACTGGAGGCCTAATCTTCTATCCGCTAAACTCCTTTAGTGCTATAAGTAACCATAGGAGACGCTGATAGCTTACCATCAGATGATCCCACTTCTCATTTTCCCTTTAAGCCTTTAATAAAAAACTTTAACACATTCAATGCCACGGGCGCCAAAAATGGCCGGCGCCAGTACGAGATTGTTCTACGTATAAAGTGATCAAAACGAAACCGCGTTTGACGCTGTAATTGGTTTGATCAGAGCGCCGAACGCGGTCTCGTTACTATTATTTTATACGTAAAACAAACTTGTACCAAGGCCTTAGATTTAAAATAGCAGTTAGAGAAAAAATAAACCAAAACCTTATTTTTTTATTATACGAGACCCTCGTTGCCGCTAGTCAAAATCTTAATAACAAAACCAACATACCTCCATCCTCGTCGTCCTCATCACCGCCAACAGCTCCTTCATCACCACCCTCATCATCATCATCATCATCATCATCATCACTGCCGAGCTGGTGATCGTCATCGTCGTCCTGCTTCTTGTTACCACGCTTCTGTTTCGTAGCAGCCATGTCTGCTAGGTAGTCTAGTTCGTCGTCTGATTCCGCTGCAATAGGTAATAATAACTTTAGGTATTATGGATGTTTAAAAAACATTTTAAAAAAAAATTGTTTTTTAACTCGTCGAGTACCGGTTTTGTAGACACAATTATAGAACAATAGGTAGCGGTCACCGGTGACCGCTTGGTGTTTGACAGTTTAATACGTGATCTTTTGCAAATATTATACATAATATTTGATATAGCAACAGGAATAGTTGGAAATCTTTAGAAGAGGCCTTCACTTCACGAGGGGTTCTTATTCTTACTAACATATTGAAGTAAGTATTATGTGTTTATTTTAAAACGTATATAGTTCTAATAAGGTTAAGTTCATAAGTTGATGAGCATAGTAAATAAGCATATACCTTTTATTTTTTTTAAGTAAGAAATAAAAGGCTTTTTTATTTTTATTTTATTTTATGCTACATAATACCACTTTTATTATTGGTCTATTCAAAAAAAATATCTAGATGCATATAACAGGAATAAGAACACATAATATAACAGTTTTCTTTTTTGTACACATTCGAAAGTTTTATGGAAATGCAGATACAGGTACAATTTCGTTCTTATATTGGAATTTTATTTATTAATCAAGAAACTAAATCATAGAAAATAGAAAAAGAAACTAATATAACGAAATCAGAAAATATGTTTTTTTTTTATATCTCTTGATAGAGGGAAGATAAAACTTGGTTGGAAATGGTTCACCCTAATCCGTTACAAAATAACAGACAAAAGAAAAATACCACGGTATAAATAGTCCCTAATGGAACCAAAACACCGGCAACGTATATGTTGTTGACTCCGGTGTTGCGGGTGTCTATGGGCGGCGCCGGTTGCTTACCATCAGGATGCTTACTCTTGAAACCAATCTCAATGTCAATGCAATTTCAATCCAATAAAATCTCAATAATTATTCAATGTTAAAACTATACGATCTCTATCGTAGCTGTTAAAGTAGCATTTAGAGTACGGAATATAAAACCAAACTCAATACCATTTAGTTCATGAAATATCCACGCAATAAGCGCTAGTTTTGCAACTCAAGAGTACGAAATTTTACAATGTCGATCGATCGGAATTGGATTCAAGAGTAAGCCCCAAGTGACCAATCAGTTTATTTATTCCCAATCCAACAAAAATATCAGCTGGAACACGTCCATTGCTAGACAAAGGTCGCCCTTAATCCACCGTGTTGAATGAAAGCTCGCCAAAAAAACATTATAATAATTATTATTTCCATATATTTATTTAAAATTTTATATTTTTAAATATTATTAAAAATATAAAAAATAGGAGCCGACCAGTAGCGGGAGCATGGTCCAAGCTACCGGTGGTTAGGGCTCCAGAGACAGAAACCTCCTCACAATGCGCGCCGTTTCAAGGAGAACTGCCTTCTGTATCAGGCCCTTGACCCAACTGCCTAACGCTAGCCTCCTAAGGTGGTCGTCGAGGCTATTAGGGATTAACCCATTGGCCGACACGACTATCGGCACAATGATAGACGAATCTACATTCCACATGTCGACAACCTCGCAAGCCAAATCAAGATATTTGATTTGTTTATCTTTTTCAGCTTTCACGAGGTTCTCATCATGAGGAATAGTGATATCGATTATCATCGTGCGGCGCACTTGTCGGTCTATCACCACTATTATAATAATTATTATTACAAAACTAGCTTCTGCCAGCGACATCGCTTGCGTTACTGTGGAACAAACGTAGCCTATGTGTGACTCCAGATCATAATCCATCCCTGTGCCAAATTTCATCCCGATCCCTTCAGCCATTTTAACGTAATTTAGTAATAAACATGTACACAAACTATTGCATTTATACTATCAGTGAGATAATAATTACCTAGTGCCTTAGCCCCGGTGACGCCGTCGAGATACTGCTCGAAGTCCTCGCTGTTCACGGAGTCAGCATCACTGTCATCGTCATCCGAGTCATCTGCCGCATTGCGACGCTTTTGTAGGAAACTGGGGAGAGAACAATATTTGTTAAATTTACTGATAACATAAGATAATATCACGATTTTACCCCGAAGGATTAGGCAGAGGTGCACATTACGACATGTACAATGTAACACCCACTTTTCACTATTTAGGTTATGAGTCCCATGTAATAGGGGGTGAGCCTATTGACATATACCGGGCATAATTCCAGACTCCGTGCTACCACCAAGATTTTTTTTAAAACCCAGTATTACTTTGCCCGGACCGGGAATCGAATCAGAGACCTCTTACACGCAGTCGCATTTGCGACCACTCATTCTCTACTCACAACGAGGCAGTATTTATTGATAAAAAGTCTCAAATCAATGATTGATTGCACTATTGGTGCAGTGACTACATGACTGACTAAATGACTGCCTGCTAAAACCAAAGCCCGACCAAAATCCTAGCCAAAAGCAAAGTTTAAAGAAAATGATATAAAATTTTACTGTAAAGCTAGAAGTTTCCATCACAGACTCAAATAAAGTATTGAAATGTAAATGTTAGGTACCTATGCAAAAATCACGCGACAACTTGTTCAAAAAATAACACAAATTAGCCTAAAGAAGTGAGAAATGTATGAAACCCTTAACCTCTTATCTGCTCCCGTTATTCATGTCCCTGAGACGCGTCGGACTTCAGTGTTCCGGTGTTTTCATGGTTGTATCTACTGTAGATCCTGGTGCACAGGAGTTGCAGCGGTTTTGGGAGATAGTGGCGGGCTTGTCCTATTAAAGTATTAATAATACCTACCCATTCCAAAAGGTATATAAAGAGATATGTATTGAACTTACTCGTATAAGAATCTCTCATCCACAGGTACTTTACTGGCATCTTCGTTGAGGTACGACGCCGAGTTCACTGGTATACTCTTTAGACCTGAAATCAATTACCCATTTTTTTTTTATTTATTTATTCATAAACAAATTTACATTTGTGTCGAATACGGTTTTGAACCAAAATTAAAAATAATCACATAAAAATCAAGAAACTCAGGTAAAAGCAATACAATTCAATTAAAATAAAACACAATCATACATAAATTAAATACATACATAAATAAAAACTTCATTTTACTTACTAATAATTTCAAAACAACATACGAGTAATTTAATTACATGTCAACAAATAATTTAAATGTGTCAGATTGGAATACTAAATATAAAATAAGTCACTAGTATAATCTCAATTTTAGTATCAACTAATTAATTTAGACCTATAGTATTTTTATACAACTGTAAAACGATGCGTTATGATTTCCGAGCGTATTCTTGTTTGCATTTAAAATAGGCTATTATTATGTTATGCTCGAATGCTGAAACGCTTCTCAATTTTAAACCGCGCTTAACTATAGTTCTGTCTCTACAATTTCTTTGTAAAAAGACAGAGATGGCACGATATTTAAGTACAACTTAAAATTGATTAGCCTTTCAGTATTCGTATGTTAGTCAAGTAACTCTCGCAATAAAAGTTAAAACACCACGTGGGATAAATAATATTTCCTACTACTAGCTACTTGCGCGCAATTTCACCCGCTCTGCTCGGCTCCTATTGGTCGTAGGTCGTAAGACGACGAAACACAACGCAAGCGTTGTTTCACCTCGGTTTTCTGCTCGGCCATGCCATTCCAGTCTAGCCGGCCCATTCGTGCCGAAGCATGGCTCTCCTACACTTAAGTTAACTTGGTATCAAATAATAATATCAAAAACCTCACCTTTAGCAGTATAATTCTTCCTGATAGCGAACTTAGGGTGCGACCCCTTTACTTTCTTGACTCCATCGTCCAGTTGCGTCTCAGCTCGTTTCTTAGGGTTTTTAAACACAAAACGGTCCAAGAACCTAATACCGGCGAAATCTTTGAGTGGGTCGCCGCTGTATTGGATTATTTGCTCTGGAAAATTAAGATTGGAGTTGAATTAGTAACATAACGACACGCCTTTTAACCCCGAAGGGATAGGCAGAGGTGCACATTACTAAGTGACACTGTACAATGTAACACCCGCTTTTCACTATTTATGTTATGTGAGCCTATTGCCATATATGGGGCACCGGCCTGAGAATCGAACCCGAGACCCCTTGCCAGCAGTCACACTTGGGACCACTCGGCCACCGAGGCAGTCAATTAGTATGTAAAATTAAATTTTTGATCAAGCGGTTTGATAGAGGAACTGTTTGTTTTATTGATTTAAGGGTTTTGGGTTAATCTCCAACCCGAGTGAAGGGTTATTAAGTAGGTAGGTATCTCAACTTTCATGATTGAAATTTTAATATCTCTTTCTGGATTTCCAGTTTGACCATTAGTCGTTATCAGACGACAGGAGCTGTATTAGTTTTTGTTAACAACTCCTTTTTGTACAGAATTTAATATCTGGTTTAATATATCGGAAATCCAATCCTAAACATACTGTATCACAAGCCTGCTGCGAGCAAGGGTCACCTAACCAAAACCAGACCCAGACCCGAGCGAACGGCGCGTCGCGTTCCGCGCGCGTCTCAAGGAGCCATCAGACCACCACAGATGGGGCCCAATAGGGCCGCTGCCGACACGGAGTCGCGGTGAACCTAAAAGGTTACCGGGGCTCCGACTAGAAGTGCAAGAGTAGGAACGGGGTGGATTTTAGTCAGTGTCAGTAAGAGTCTGACACTCCCCAAGATGGGAGAAGTCATTGTACTTATGATTTTTCCCCTCGAACATAAAACACTGTATTGATTTAAACGATACATAATATCAATTAATGAAATAATTATATTATGTTCGTTATGTATGTTATAGGGATGGGATAGGACAGAACAAGGAATTATGGGACAATGAAAAATTAAGTAATTTATATTTCATAATATATCATCAATAGATAGTTTACCTCGCAGCAGTTTCTCAGCGAACAGTTTGACAGTGGGGTGGAAGTGCCTGGCCAGGGCCACGAGTTCCACGTAGGCGGAGCGATGAGCACCCGCGAAGGATGGATTACGAGCCAACGGGTTATAGTCCGTAATTTCCTGTACAAAGAAACAAAACATGTAGGTACAAATCCACATTTTCTTCTCCTCTTATAATATCTTCTAATTTATTTCGTTGCGGGATCCAAGTCAGTCATTCATATTCCCGAGACAAGAATGTTCCGGTGTTTTCATGGTTGTATTTACTGTAGATCCTGGCGTACAGGAATTGCAACGGTTTTGGGAGGTTTTAGCCCGCTCGAAACATTAAAAAAAAAACAAATCCATCTAAAAATAACTACTACAAAAACGTGTTAAGCCCCAAAACGAAAGCGCACATAAATACAATGTACCACCCACTTCTCACTAGACAGATGTGTTATTTAATAAGGGCGAACTTAACGTATTCTCATGTTTTTTGGTAACTATAATATATCAAGTATATACTATAGTTACCAAGTATAATTGTAAAAACAGGTTTTTTGTACGTGTGCGAAGTCACGGGCAAAAACTAATATTCTTATAAAATACCACGCTAACCTATTTCATAATACCTCTAATAATAGTAATTAGTTTTTTATTTGAACCTAATAATTTTATTTTCTAATTCGTATTTTAAAGTTTTGCCTATCCTTGTGAGACAAAGCAGTTCATGATAAATAAAATATCAACTATGGGTTAAATATCATGCATACATAAAAAATACAAATGCGCTAAATATCATTTTGATGTAAACCGAAGTGAAAACGAAATATGTCATCAAAACGGTACCACAGGAGGATTATTGTAAAAATAAACAGCCACATTGGTCGATTGCAAATCTGACTCTCACGCCAATTCGATCAAGGGCTCCCAAATTCGATCCCCAAATCCGGCAATGGTGTATATCATTCAGAAACCTCATACATACATAACATCACGCCTTTTATCCCCGAAGGAGTAGGCAGAGGTGTACATTAATGCCACTGTACAATGTAACACCCACTTTTCACTATTTATGTTATGGGTCCCATGTAATAGGGGGTGAGCCTAATGCCATATACCGGGCACAATTCCAGACTCCGTGCTACTACTGGAATTTTTTTGAAAAACCCAGTAATACTTTGCCCGACCCGGGAATCGAACCCGAGACCCCTTGCCCGGCAGGCGCACTTGCGACCACTCGGCCAATGAGGCAGCTCAGAAACCTCACCTTATCCATATTAACAGTCTTCTTCAGCTGTATTTTAGCGACATCCTTCTCCAGTTCCTCATCCTTCTTCACCTCCGGGACCTCTGACTTCACCTTGGCGTGATACCAGCCGGGTATGACAGACCCATGCTTACGTTTCTTAGGCCTTATGTTACCTTGGTCATCAATTTTGAGATCCACGTATGATTCTTCTTCATCATCATCTAGAAGATTAGGCAAGAGAATATTAGATTAAATTTTCAATTTACAGAGAGCATCAAAAAATTCGTCCGCGTCAATTGGGAAAGTACTAAGTACCCAGCATTGCCACGTTGTATGGCAATGCTTAACCTCTGACCGAGAAACAGTCCAGCAGTCTGGTCTCGAGATGCGTCGATCAGGCGTTTTAAAATAGCTTTAGTGTCTAAATAGTAGTTGTACATATTTATTTATCCTTTCCTTATATTCTATGTATGTATGTATGTACGGTCAAAGGTCAAAAGTCCACAGCCACCGTAAGCCTACTATCAGTTGCGCTGCAGCGCTTATACACACACACACACACACACGCATATTTGTATCCGTGTGCGTACGCGTGCGTGTGTTAATGCGTTCGCACACGTTTTTATGCACATTAATATGAAATTACGTACGCATTGTCGTGTGAACATCACTCACGGTGGCAGTGGACTTTTGACCTTTGAATGTAGAGGTACATCGTGCAATAATATTGGGAAATTCTTCATAGTATCGATCCACTCCTCTTCTGTCTCTTATTCACTTCTCGATCCCTATTCACGCCATTTTACCGTACCAAAAATAGATTGATTTATCAGGAAGGAAGAGAAATTCCAATTACCAAATTTGACCTAAGCAAACAAACAGATTAAGCTAAATTATTGGATACTAAGTCTATTTAAACTGTCAAACACCGCGAGGACACCGTTGACCGCAACCTATTGTTCTTTAATTGTGTCTATAATGACGGTACTCAAAGGGTTAAAAAAGAATGATATGTTACCCAACAGATCTTTCTTGTCACCCCTTAGCAGGTCAACTTTCTTCTGTTCCACCTTGACCTCATCATCGGCCGTGTCATTGAGTGGCGTGTTTATTTCTGTCACCGTATCTTCTGCACTGTCATCCAAAATGTCTTCTATTTCTGGTACTTCTTCTTTTATTTCCTGTAATAGATTAAATAGATATTAAATTAAGTAGGTTTTTTTAAGGGGGAAAAATCGTCGGCGGGTGGGAGTGTCACTCTTACTGACTAAAAACCACCCCGTTCCTTCTCCTGCACGTCGAGCCGGAGCCCCGGTTACCCGTTAGGTTCTCAGCGACAAATTAAGTAGGTTTAACAATAGAAATATTGTAGTATTTATTTTTTGTAATACTTTTTGAATACAACTCTTTTTTGTTTGTGTGATGATCTGTGAAAAGTTCAGCAGTCAGCTATTTACTAAAAAAAAATTGTGAAAAAGGGGGGCCCAACAATCTTCAGTATCAGCATCCGCAACATTAGCATAGTTATAAGTTCGTTTTGGGCTTTTTGATGGAAGGGGGAGGGATTAGACTTTAGTCAGGTTTTAGACAAATAGACAGTGTTAGTAATCTGATCTCAATTTTACCCTTTGAGTACACAACCCTAGAAACCTTAACTTAGTTAAATTCTTATTAGCAAAATCTAATGCATCAAATTACCTCCTTAATCTCCCTCTTAGTCCAGACCAATTTAACAGCCTCCTTCTTCTCTCCATCCTTTAAGACTTGAGAAATGAGGAACAGCATCCCACACCCCTGCGCAGGAGTCATGTAACAACATAACTGTAGCAATCGCTTGATAAATGACGTCACGCGAGGTATATTCTTGTCCTGCTTTAATGACTTGTATATAAGCGAGAAGAGAAGCGCCGAGTGTGTTGTGTTGAATATTTCTGCATTTGTCAGCTTGCGGTAGAGGGCGGTGTAGTAGCTGGAATGGGAGAATAGTTTTATGAACACTTGAGTTTTGAAATGAAAAGTACGTCCTTGGCGCTTTTTATGGCATTGATGGTCAACCAAGCAGACTGATAATTCAATAGTAAGATTTATTCTCACTAACCAATAACAAGAAAACGAAATCGTTGGCGTCTTTATTCCATAAATAAAATCCAAATAAACGCAGTTTCGTATTACATCATCATTATGTGTGGGAGAACCATGCTTCGGCACTGCTGGGCCGGCTCGACCGGAGTGATACCACGCCCTCACAGAAAACCGACGTGAAGAAACGCTTGTTTTGTGTTTCGTCGTGTGAGTGAGGTTACCGGAGGCCCAATTACATTCCCCTTCCCCAATCTCCCCAATTCCTGAATCCCCAACGATCAATCCTCAAGCTACTAATCCTCAAAAGGCCAGTAACGCACTTGTAACGCCTCTGGCGTTCCAGGTGTCCATGGGCGACGCCGATTGCTTACCATCAGGTGATCCGCCTGCTAGTTTACCGGCTTGTGCCATAAAAAAAAATCATTCCTTGATTTTTGTTTTTAATAACTTATTCAAAATTTTATAGACAGAGCTTCAGTTCCTGTGAAATAAAAAGTATCCTATGTGTTATTCCCAGGGACTGAATAACCGAAAAATTACGATACCTTTAAATTGCGGTATGACGTCATACCGTTAAATAACGGTTACCGCTTAATTTCGGTATCGAAATTTAATTTCGGTACCGCTATTTTTGGGTATGAAATGAAAACCGGTATATTTCGGTACCAGTATCCTAACCTGAATAATAAAGGTATGAGAGAGATATTGACCGCGCTAGATCATCTATCCTATTTCATCGCATTGCATTAGTTTGGCTTGTTCTCTGGACACAATCACATGCGGCTCGCGTTATAATATTTTATGGTGTGCTGAGTTGAATTGAGATAACAATTATTAACAATGTCAAATAACGCACGAAAACTTATAATAACAGAAATAAGTAAGTATATGTACTTATTACTACTTATGTAATCTGATAATAACATACTTCTAGTTGACACGTAACGAGTACTAAGTACTAGTATCTTACCTACTCGTTGTCGACGCGTACGGCACGCGGCGGCGATCTAACGCCAGTAGACACGCTCACACACAGACGCTGCGTGCGTACTATTTTATTACACTTTTTATGTTATTACACTATAGCTCATTACTATAGTTTATTATAACGTAGTGTGTTATAATATTTTTTTTACCTTATAGGTATATATTTTCACGACATTTTTGTCAAAAATTGGTTAAATGCCTAAAGTTTTTTTATTTCTACCTCGTCGGGCGCGGATTTCCAGAATTCTTGTTTTGATTCAAAGGGTATACTCCCGAGATGGTCCTTTTCATTGAGGTCAGGATCTGATAATAGAAGCCTAGGAAAACCGAGGAGAACTTTCGAAAATTGTAGGGGCGTGTAATATGTGTATTGTTATTCAATTAGGATTTTTAAACTCTACCCCAGGAGGGTACCAGCTCCGCTGGAGAATCCCTCCCTGAGCATGATTGCTCAGGCAGCCCCGTCGTATCTTGGCAAATTCCCAACGGCGACGTGCTCTGCCACACGTCACGTTTTGTCTCCCCGTGAGTAGGCAGAAAGCGGGCTGAGGATTGCCTTTTTGCTACACTGAATGTGTGTGGAGGCGTAGAAGGCAAGATGTTAGAAATATGTGAGATGATGAATACAAGAAAGATTGATTTGTTAGGGATGAGCGAGACGAAAAGAAAGGGTTGTATGACTACCACACATGGCCAATATATTGCTTACTGGTCTGGTGTTGCAAGTTCCCAGAGAGGCAGCCAGGGCGTGGGGGTCATACTATCTGAAAGGATGAATGAATGTGTGAAAGAGTATAAATGTGTGAGTCCCAGGATACTTTAGATCCGCCTTAAAATTGGCTTGACCAAATTATTTGTCGTCTGTGCTTATGCCCCGGACATCTCAAAGCCAATTGGGGTGAGGGAAGTATTCTGGGATAACTTGAGAGATGTTCTTAATGAATGTAAAGAGAATGAAAGAATAATTATGCTTGGAGATTTTAATGGATGGGTTGGAGTGGCACGCGATGGGTACGATAGAGTATTAGGGCGATTTGGAGACGAACGAGTGAACGAGAATGGTGTATGTCTTCTGGATATATGTGTAGAAAAGGAACTTTTTGTGACCAACACAACATTTGGTCACAAGAAGATACATATGTATACATGGCAGAGGCATACAGAAAGAAGTACGATTGATTTTGTGATTGTTGATGAACGCCTGAGGACAAAACTGAAGGATACAAGGGTTTACCGTGGCACGAATGTCGGAAGCGACCACTTCCTAGTAATTACTAGAATAGCTGGACTGGCAATGAAGTGGAGACATCGGCCACGGGTAAGGTTGCTTGGAACCGAGAGAGTGAGAGTTGAACGGTTGAGAGAAGAGGCAGCTAGGGACCAGTACAGGAAACTATTAAATGAAAGGTTTAGGGAGCTAATGAAAGGTTACGAAAGGAATATAGAAGAATTTTGGAAGGAATTTAAGGATGGAGTGATCGCAGTAGCTACTCAAGTATGTGGGGTAAGCAAGAAAAATAACACTGGAAGCAAGAGGAATGAATGGTGGGATGATGAAGTAAAAGAGGTGATAGAGCAAAAGAAGAAAGCATGGCTCGACTTATTAGCCTCAAAGGCAAATAGAAGAGTGCTAGAAAGTATGATAGAAAAGTACATTAGTCTCAAAAAGAGAGCAAAAGCGGTAGTTAACAAGAAGAAAAATGAATGCAAGGAAAAGTTTGAAAGGAATTTTTCGCGGAACTTTCGAGCCAACGCTAAACTATTCTGGCATTTAGTTAGAAAGGCCAGAGGCAAAGTGGGGGACTCGAAAGTAAGTACGATAAGGGATATAAATG